CTTGTCTTTCTGTGAACTCTGACCTCCGTTCCCCCTTCCTCCTCAGAACCTGCATGTGTTTTGCTGCATTGAAGGTGGAAAGAGCAAGCAAGCAAATGCATTCTGCTTGCTGGAAACCCTTATTCTGCTAATAAAGCTGCAAGGCTTTTTCTGACATATTTTGAATATTAAGTTATACCTGGAAGTTTTTATTGGGGTTCGGGTTAATAAATTATTACTTAATTAACATATTAATACTTTATAGTTGTATTTAATACCGACAATAACTTTCATGCCTACAGCCCTAATATATATATATATATATATATATATATATATTAACCCTGCTGTGATTAATTTCAGAAACCTTTACTATTAATTAGTTTGTTCATTCAACAACCCTTTTACTGTGCATAATTATTAGATTTACTGTCAAAACACTTCATGAAAATGATATTAAAAGATTTCAAGTGCACATGGAATATGATGTTAAACTAGAAGTTTTGCTTTTTGTTTTCTTTATCTTGGACGTCTTTATCTCTCGCTCACCCTTTAATTAGCCTAAAAATATGAGGATTTTTGATTTTCAGTGCTAATAAGCAAAATTGGTGTTATTGTTTCGTCAGTCTATCGCTTCCGTTTCTTGGTAGTGAGATGTATTCAGCGTTAATGAGTATAAGTTGTTTATTCAGGAGGGCTGGATGTGAGAATGACACTGTCATGGCATGTGTGAGGTTTGACAGAAGCTGATCTTCGGCATGGGTGGGGCGTGATTGCAAATAGGGCTTGATGTAGTATATACAACCACAATTCCAGAAAACTTGGGTAGAGAATTTGAGATTTGTTAATTCTCTAATTAAATTTCCATTTTTCGCTGGCCAAATTGATTGTGTTTTGTAAACACATTTTAATTTCCAAAAAAAGTTAGGTCAGATGCGAAATAAAAATGGAAAGATAACAGAATATCCAGTTCAAGAACTGTTTTGAAACAGTCCACAATTAACAGGTCAATTGGTAATTTGTGAGGAGCATCTCAGTCTTTTGCTAAAAAGGTGAGTCATGGCTCACTACTTTGTGCCAAATTTCATAAGAGAATTGCCAAGCAATTAAAAAATCAGATTTCTCAATGCAAGATTACAAAGTCCTAAGAAATATCCATGTGTGTAGTGCAAGGCAGAAAGCCTTTGTTAAATGTGTCGTGTGTGTGACCTTCGAGACTTCAGATAGTAATGCATAAGGAATAAATTGCTACTTTCGTAGCATTAAAAATAGCCACATGGGCTCAGGACTACATTGGAAAACCATTGTCACTTAACAGTCTGCATCAAGAAATGCAACTTGAATCTCTGTGACGCAAGGAAAAGGCTATACATCAGTTCTAGAGATGCTGGCTAGCTCATCTCAGATGATCCAAAACAGTGGAAATGTGTGCTGCGGTCAGATGAATCCACGTTTCAGCTTGTTTTTGGGGGGGAAATGGACTGTAAAATCAGAATTTGTTTAATTTTACAAAATACTATCAACTTGGTCAGTGAAAACATTGGACATCTTTTCTTTGTACTTTTGTCAGGTAAATAAAGGTTAAAGAGAGTTAACAAATCACAGTTTCTTGATTTTATTGCATTTTATAAAATGTTCCCACTTTTCTAGAGATGGGGTTGTAGTATATTGTCCTGTATGACATTTGTATTATATTTGTAGAGTAAATACAAATCCGGAGAAACCATCATTTCAACCGCAGTTGCCTCGATATTCAAATGTTTAGTACAAGACGTAAAATACAGTTCTTGTGAGTAAAATATTTATGAGGTATAATCCCATTAATAGCACTCCAGGCTGACTAACATGAAATGTTCCATTAGGAAAAACAAAGGCCAGATTTCCCTTAATCATCCATCACAATTGGTAAAACAAAAGAATTCTGATGTGCAGTGAAAGATTGAAAGTGCCTGTTAGAAAATAGCAAAATCATTGGAAATGACATTGTTCCACCAATAATTAAGAAGTCCCAATACACTAAATATGTTATAAATCTGCCTGGAAGAGGATGAGTGTCTATATTGTCTTAATGCACTGCATGGAGGATAGTTTGAGTGGCCAAAGACTCTCCAAGGATCACAACTGAAGGATTGCAGAAATGGGTCTGAAAGCCTAAAAAAAATGTCATACAGCACCTACATATCATGAGGGAAGGATTCTGGGAACGTCAACTGCTTTCACTCATCATATTCAGTTGCCAGACACTACTGGGACTTCAAATGGGACTGAATTCTGTTGTCAGATGAATCTTAAAAAAAGAAGAACTTTTCGCTTCAAGCCCAAAAGCTGTTGTTGATTTTTGCTCACAGGAATAAAAAACTACCCCATGCCTAGAGTTCAATATATTGCTGTATCTTTAATGTTGTGCACCTATTTCTTTTGCTGGTGGTCCTGGACATCTGGTCCAGATACTGTATATGGCATGGCATCATGGATTTTATCAAATACCAACAGATAAAACAAACATCAAAACCTGTCTCCCTCTACCAGATATCATATAATGCGTTGAGGTTGGATCTACCATCAGAACAATGATCCAATACAAACACCCAAATCAACACAAAAATAGGTCATTAAGCACAACATTAAAACTGAGAAATCAAATTTTCCTTGAGCTTTTGACATCTAAGAGGTCATCATATTATAAGAATATCCTGTAAGTTTCAGAACTGTAAACGTCCTTGTTAGTCCAATAAAAGCTCAGCAAACGACTCGTTTTTCAAAGTGGGGAACTATGACGTCAAAGAGGATAAAACACCACCCCCGCAGAAGAAGGTCAACGCCTACTTCAACATGGCCGGTTTAGCCCCGCCCACTAATTCGCGCATTACACGCATAGGTAAATAACATAGTGATCGACATTGAAACTCATTATAATATGCAAAACTGTTATCCACTCACAACAGTCAGCGTTTACTTCCAAGTATTCAGTGCGAGACGCCCATAAAAACTGAGTGTTTTTGAACTGGGGTAGAAAATAGACTATTACTTATTCATTTTGATGCTTTTTAATGTAAAAACCAAGCGAACGTCATAAGTTGACCTCAGACAACAATATAAAAAAAAAATTTAAAAAACAGTTTATGACCCCTGTAAAGTTCTGAGCCATATAGATGTGTTGGTGAACTGAAGTAGAGGGAATTGTAAGAGCGATTCCGTATGGAGGAATGGTCTCTGATTTCTTGTCAGGTGTTCTCCAGCCTCGTCTGGCATTATAGGAGGAGACTTTATTAAAGAAGTATGTTCTATTCTATTCAAAGATTCCTGAAAAAAGTAACACATTTTTCCACGAACAATATAAATCTGTTTTCAACATTAAAAAATAATTGTTTCTTGAGCAGCAAATCAGCACATTAGAATGATCTCTAAAGGATTGTGTGACACTGAAGACTAGTATAATAATGTTATATTATGTAAATATAGCTGCAAGCACCAATTAAGGGGCCAAGCACAAAGAAGTCAGGATAAATCAGGCCATCATGGCTGGAAGCATCAGACGAAATGCAACAATTAGCAATTTAAAGCATATTAAGATTATTTTAGGCAAAATGCCTGAAAAATCAAATACAATCACTAGTAATATGCGGTAACGCTTCCTTTTACGTTACAGTACTTACAGTGTACTTGCAGTGTATTTACCTAGAAAGTACTGGCTAATATAAGGTACATGGAACAGGGGTAGGTTTTGTTTTTGTAGGTTCAGGGTTAGTACTAGTTACTAAAATAAGTACATAGTATTTGCATGGGTAACTGGACTGTAAAAAGAAGCGTTACCTAATATGCTTTAATGGTTTATCACTTTTGACCAATAGGGGGTGTTGTTATGAAAATTTGGTATCTTTCGACTCGGCATGCTTGGACAAGTTTTCTGTTTTTTTTTCCCCAAACGCTCAAAAGTTTTTGGCAAAAAACAAATTGTTCATGTCGTGTGACCATTTCGTGGCATTGCGTCGAAACTGTCCTGGTAACCTAAGGTCATGATTGTCATAACACACCAAATTTCGTCAGAATACTCCAAAGCATTGTGGCGATATAGCCTCACGTTCATTTTGGCAGGCAGTTCGGCGAATTTGTTTTTGTTTTTATTTATTTGAGAACGGTTTGATGAATCGACTTCAATTCCATATCTTTTTAGCGGTATGGTCAGAAAATTATCTGGTTGCATTTTCAACAACGGCCAAGGAGTCAAATTGTCTTGAGGCAAGCAATAAGAGGAAAAATTAATGTAAAAGAAGAAAGTTTCTAGCCCTTAGAGACTTCAAATTTGCTCTGGTGACAGTTCAGACTGTCCTCTATCTGTGTACCAAATTTCATAACTTTCCCTCAAGCGTTTCTTTGGGCTGCCATAGACACCCAGAACATAAGAAGAAGAATAGGAACGATTATAATAGATGCCTACGCACCTTCAGAGCTTGGCCCCTGATTATCTATAATTATATATTGTGAATATTCAGTACATCACCCACAACCCTCAACCGTATCCTATCATACATGTGATGGCCAAAGACTGCCATCTTTGTCAGGAGGCGAATGAAGATGCCTATATTTCACGCAGTCATGCATGGTACACACTCTACCCATCAGAAGACGCGTCCCTGTTGATTAAAGAGACACCCATAAATAAAGCCGCCGTCTCTTCTCTAACATAACGCGCTCAGACGTTGGGTTGACAGCTGAGTAATTACCTCATGCTTACATGACAGCGTCGAGCACATGATGGCACGGACGGAGAAATTCTTTACGGCTTTATTAGGGTGTTATGTCTTACGCCCGGCAGGCTGTCATCCGTGAACTGTGTCTGCTGTCTGTGAGTGGGAAAAGCGGAGAAGAGAATAAGTGTTATTGTTGTGTTGTGTCCGTCGAGTGCCTGTCATTTATTGTTTGGTCTCAATTTTACTGAAGAGATTCTAATGATGCCTTAATTGTCTGTGATAGATGAATAGGGTGGTGATTTATTGTGTGTGTGTGTGTGTCCTGAACAGAGATGGTACATCGCCACATGCAGCAGTATGAGGTGGAGTATTTGCAGTTTGCTTTCCGTTGGATGAACAACTTGCTTATGAGAGAACTTCCTCTACGCTGCACCATTCGCCTGTGGGACACTTATCAGGTAAAAGAGACCCGTAACAGTCTTGGTACGATCAATTACATAGAAAAGCTATGCTAGTGTTTTGCAACTGAAAATGGTATATATATATATATATATATATATATATGAAGAGTTCAGATGCAAAAGCCTCTAAGTGTCATTTGAAATTTTCTTCTAGAATAATGATTTTTATCAAGCTTGTATATTTAAGTTCAGTGATTTCACTTAAATGGCAATGATAATTACCTATTAATTGTTATTTAAGTGAAATTACTGAACAAGTTTGATAAAAAATCATCATTAAAGAAGAAAATTTCAAATGGCATTTAGAGGCTTTTGCATCTGAACTCTTCATATATATAAATGCATGTGTGTGTATTTACACACATATATTATGTAAACACAAACTTTTATTTTGGATGTGATTAATCGTTGCACAGGCCTAAAAAATGTATTTCTTATAAGTGCCACTTTATCTCACAATTTTGACTTTTATATCTCAATAGAACAGAATACAGGGGTCTTAAAATATGTTTTTTTTTTAATTGATTTTTTTTATTGTTTTTTATCGGCATGAAATCAAATTTGACAAATCTTCGCTAATAACTAGGGCTGGGTATTGCGACAAATTTCACTATTCGATTCGATTTCGATTCACAAGCTTGCAATTCGATTCGATTTCGATTTACGATTCGATTCAATATCGATTATTTTGGATATCAGTTACAATAAATGGCCATTTTTCTCAAGGAAATCAAATCTCTTAACTAATGCTGTAAACTATGGGAGTCTAGTTGTAGCCTACTAGGCTTCGTTAGCCTAATATGAATGTAATAATGAACTGTTTTGTAGCTATACAAACACTTAAATTACACTTTTTATTTATTTTTATTATATGAAATATAAATATTTAAATGCTGGCTGTCATAAAAACTTGCCAGATTTATTCAAATATGCATTAAATATTGAAGAACATTAAAATTATAATGCAATATGGTGTATATATGTTTAGCAAAATGCTTCTCTCTGGAGTTATTTTTTTTCAGCTGGCTAACGAGTTAATGTGAGTTTTCTGAGGTAAATATGACGATACATGACATTGATTACAAGCTGTTTAACTGACGTCTTTCCACGGTTGAAACGCTGATTGAGCGAATCAATGTGACATGATACGGATTTCGATAAGTTGTACTCTATCTTTTAACACACTTTCAGATGCTCATTCATGTTTATTTCGCGCTGTGACTGGTATTATTAAGCCGGAGGAGAGATCAGCGCTGCTGCTTCTCTTGAGCTGCGCCAGAGCGATCTCACGCCACAGCGCCAAAACGTTATTTATGTTTTTGAATTTCTAAAGAAAATGGACGTAATTTGAAAATTGAGACTTTGTTTCATATCAATAGTAACAAAGGACAAAGATTATTGCGATTTTTTGGATGCGCGCAGCCGCGATACAATGTTCCATTCATTCAAATGAAACAGAATGACTAATCGATTCTTGAGATTTAAGAATCGATATCGGTTCGTAAAAATGAGAATTCGATTAATATCGAGAAATCAATATTTATTACCCAGCCCTACTAATAACTCCCAAAAGTCAGCTTATCGTAATAACCCATTGTCCCGGTTTACATGCAAAAAAAAAATAACACGGTAAACAGTGTTTATGAGACTTTGTTCATAAATCAGGTGATTTCCTGGTAGTGGCATCAAAATGTAATCATGAGTGTATCTGATTCTGAGTATTCCATTTGCTGTGACGGTTGTGATGTTAAAAAAAAAAAAAAACATGTCAGCAGGAAACTTACAGTCTCATATATTCTCCTCTCATGCTGTTACAGATGCAGCATTTCAACTGAACCTGATGAGAACACATTTTTCGCATTTCTTTGGTCAAGAAAGAGTCGCAGTTTGTGATATATTTCCTCCTCGCTTACCGCGAAATGCCCACTCTGTCTAAATCCGCTTTCCCGTCACATATCACACATGAGCGCTTCAATAAGCCGACTTAACATGCCGCGTGAAAGCGGGGTAAGGGGCAAAACTCTCGCTGTGTTGATCGGTTTAAGCTTAAGCCGTTTATGGCCTTACACTAATAAAGGAAAACGGGTTACGTGACCACATTGACATTGTCGACTTGAGCATAATCGGGTTAGGAACGTGCATGTAAACACACGCATGCTTAAGAAAAACAGCAAAACCCTTTTTTTTTTGACCATATAGAACTATAGCTCGTAATTGCTGCTTCATCACAGGTTTCAATTCTTATAATTACTGTTTTTATCAGGCGTTGGGCAAAGATCCTGTGTAGTTTTTGTTGGCCAATGACCACGTCGTGAGTTGTCTGAATGAGTAGCTGATTAGCCGACTCTGAAGTCATGAAATATGTGTTAATCATCTAAAAAGATGTTGCGACAGGATGTATTTAAAGAATCAACATTTCTGAAAAGGGTTTTACTGTCTAAAAACAGAAGCACTGCACACTATTTAAAGACCACTGCTAAAATTATAGTCACTAATAACAGCAAAAAATTAAATAATAAAGAGATATTTAATAAACTAATAATGCAGGTTTTAGTGAAATGGATCAAACTGATTCATTGAACAAAAAAAACGAAAAACTGTTTAAAATGTAAAAACTGTTCTTCACGAAAAGCGATTGCATGGCCTTTGGTGCGTACAAGCTGTAGACCACTGGTTCTCAAGGGAACCACTAGGAGCCTCAGCAAACTATGAAGGGGGCCGCAGGATATCTTACACGTATTTTAATTCAACACTGTAAAAAAATAAAACCATAATTTTTACAGGAAAAAAAAAACCGGTAGCTATTGTTGCCAGAACTTTACCGTTAAAAATACGGTAGGAACATTAATGGTTTTACGGACTTAAAATTTACAGTAATAAACCGTATTTCATTATCGGATAAAATGTTGATTTACCAACCTTTGGAAAAATTGATATCTGTTTTTTACCATTGTAATACACTGACAACCAACTATCATTAGGTTAATGCTTATATAAAGAAGCTGCACAGTCTGATTTCACACAAATATTAAACACCATCATGAAATAAAAAAAAAATGCAATAAACATTAATTTACACAACATTAAATGTAACATAAAAGCCTAAAGTACATAACAAGAAGGGAAAAAAATACAAGAAAACAATGAGGAACCATAATTATTTCAGGAAAAAATACATATTTGAAGTGTCACATTGTGGGAATGTCAATTTACGGTTTTTCACCGTAAATTACACAATGAGTTGTTCTTTTTCACGTTCAAAAGCTGTACATTTAACGGTATTTTACAGTAAAAAACATATCACAGTTATTTACCGTATATAGTACGGAAACTTTCTGTTAACCAATTAACAGGCTTTTTTACCGTTAAAATCCCGATTATTTTTTACAGTAAATGATTGACTCGAATTTACATTTAAGTGCTAAAAAAACACTTTAAGTCAAGACTTTCTACTTTCCCCTTCTCAATAACTTTTTATTGAAGTACAAACCGTTCTTGAAACTTCTGGAATTCACTTTGAAACAAGTTTTTGTTTCTGAAAATAAGCATTTTTATAATAATTTCAGGAGAAACACAGAAAATATGTTCAGTCTTATATAAGACACAAAGACAATCTTTGACATTTGAAATTACAGAAATTTTTTTTATAAATCCACCTTACATGTCATTTACTGAAAAACACCATGAAAATGAATCTGCTTCTATATATGTATATATAAGCTGACATTTCTAAAGGCAATTGCTTCACATTTAGGTTCCCCTAGGTGTAGATGGCTAAAAGACCCAGAGCATAAAAGAAGGAGAATCTTTAGCACAGTCAGGAACTTCAGAGGTTTTACTGACATCTAACCCAACACTTTCATGCTGTTCGCTACATAACAAAGCTACCATTTCCGAGTGAATGCAACGGCTCTGGCGCTTCCGTGCACTCAGCTCAAAATAGTTGGAAAATAATGCTTAATTCTTTCTTTGAAAGATTTCCGGATTACTTCCATGGTAATTGTGTGCCATTAGAAGTACTTCTTTGTCTCTCAGTCGCTTCCTTTCAACAAGAGACGCCTACTGTCTTAAATGTCAGTTTCCTTCCATCTCTGCAGCAAAGAGGAAACGCTTTCAATGGCTAACCGTCCGTTTATTCTCTTTTGATTTTAGACAAATTGTAACCCTTTCCAATAGACAGTTCACGTGGTTTGTTCACCTCACTGGGGACGTGTCACTGGATTCTCTCCGACAACACCAGCCTCGTCATTGATGCATGTTGATGTGTGCGTTAGCACGGAGGGCGCCACAAAAACAATCTCTTGTTAGGCCAGTCACAAGTCAATAAGACTAGGATATTGCTTAACGTGCACTATTGATCGTTTATTCCAATAAAGAGAAGGCTGGTAGATTGCAGAGCAAGTACGGGGTACGTTCAGAAAAAAAAAAAAAATCAGGAAGTTTAACTTCCACTGATGGCTTATTTTCGTTGGTGGAGGTCTCAGTTTTGGTCAGGTTATGATTGCAGGCACTCTGAGTTGCTTTCCGATATTGATTCTGCCAGCTGAGCAAACAGTGAAAGCAAGGGCAAGAGGAGATAACTGCGGCAGGATTTGCTGCAGCAACCCATTTTTTTTCTCATTTCTTCCCCATCAGTTTTCCACTGACGTGAGAGCCGAACAATGTAAATGAGTTACTGTGTAACATGCCTACAAATGAACATACACCACTGTCGTTGTTTATGACTATGACTCAGAAGTTTGGTAAAGTTGGCCTGCAGTAATGTATGTATATTGTCAAAGCTATAGAAGGGCCAGTTGCTATGTTTCCATTCAAATTTGCAAATTTAACTTGTGCACAGAATTGGAATATCGCATAAAACAGTTTTAAATGTCATCAATGTCATCAATTCCTTGGGAATTGGCCCAAAATATCTGGGGGAAAAAAATGGAAGTTGCGGCAATCGGGGAAGCCACTGTTGCTCTTTTATTCGTATGGCATAAATGACTTGGACCTCA